GTTCGTATCACTACATTATGATTGTAATTGTGATTTTTAGACTGTTTATCTTGGGTACTTTTCTTGTATATTTCATTTTATAGATTATAAAAGTTATTGTATATATTTAAATACTAGAGGTCTCGATTCAAAACTTAATAAGTACATGGAAACCGAGTCCGTGTATAAATGAATCAAAAATGTATACTCGCATATACACGTAAATTTATTATCGTTGTTCACGTGTTTGTGTTGTATTCAGACGAATACGCAGTGAAAATACGTGAATAATTACACAGATTTTTTTGAATCCATTCTGTGTCTTCTCCTCAGGCTACTCTTTATAAATCTACTAGGAACGGTGTATTTCCTGATATTGGAAATATTAGTCGAATCACTCCGAACCAAAAATCTGGTGATCTTCTAACGTCTCCAACTCAAATAATATCAGGCATACCCTTCATATGAAAAATATTTGAGCAACTTGTTCATAAACGAATTGGACGTAGATTTCGATCCACTATGACTATATCACCCGACCAACATGTTTTTATTCTTGGTTGATTCAAAATTATCAGTTTCATTAATTTTTTCTCCTTGTGAAATCATTCACAACCAACGTTCAGGTAGGCGTTGTTTTTACTGACCTTGCTAAGCTTTCGAAAAAATTAATTAGACAATTTTAATCTCAACATTCTCGACCGTGTTAGTGTGGTGAACCCCATCTATCATGGATTAGATTTTATATTATAAGCAATTCGAAATTTGTTCATTTATTTTGCTCTTTTACAAACTCTTTCTTGGTATCATCTGGCGTTCCTCGGGGCTGTCATTTATTTCCACTCTTGTTTAATCTGTTAATAAATACTATGTACAGATCGGTAATTTCTATCAAGTTATTTTATTTGCAGATGACACCGAGTTATTTTTTTAATTGAAGATCAATAATTGTTTGATTTTACTGGAAGCATTAAATTATTTTTCCACGTGACGTTATACAGTTAGCTTATATCTCTAAACTTGGAAATTTAGGACCATGCCGTTCATTAGAGCTTGATTATCAATTCTTTTTAACTATTCGATTTTCATATTTATGATAACGTTTTAAAACGAGTCACCCAATTTGATGATTTAGACTTTTTTCCTTGTTCCATTTTAATTATTCAGTCTCCACATTGATTTCGTTGTTTGCAAGGCTTTGCGAAATCTTGGTTTCATTCTTAGAAATGGCTACAAATTTAACTCAGGGTCATATCTTCATAATTAATAGAACACTCTAGTTAAATCTATAATTTAATATAGTTCAGCACAATTTGTTATAGTAATTTGGTGGCATAATTTTTCTCTATTATCACTATCTGTATTAACTAACAATTATTGTAAAAAGCTGTAAGGCGTATATTATAAAATTAAAAAAAAAAACCTACACGATTTTTTTTTAAATTCGGTCATTCGAAAATTTCACATGAATATGTGAACACATGTACACGTGTAAAATAAGGAGTTCTATAATGCATTAAATAAATACCACCAAATTAATTTTTCGTACGGACGCATACGTCCCGTCAATATGTCGTTAAGAAGCGACTTTCTCGTATACGTGTATGAACACCTACTTTAAAAATACGCTCGTTTATTTTATTATTTCATTTATATATTTTATATTTAAGCATATATCGTTGCAACATTCATCCCATGGTATAGCTTTTAGAACGGTCATAACGGGGCGAGTATGTACATATATATTGTTATACGGAAAACGCTCGTAAAAACCTCATCGTTTCGTACTATATAACGATCCCGCTGGCTTTGCAGTTATACGCTTTTTGTGTCGATCCGAAACGTTCGGCGTTAAAACGAATGCGCCGGGGATAGCAATCAAACGTCGCCGGGACAAAGGAGACGTATCCACGGAGTATCATTTACAGTTCATCTTGAAGTAAAATAGGTATGGTACCCAATAAGTTCTTTGCGCCGTTTTACTGTTCCGGAATATTGCCCGCACGCGAGCCAAAAAGAGCAATAAGACGATTATTTTATATAATATACTATTTGAATGCACCGCGTGCAAACAATTATATTAAAAACATTTTTCGCTTCGTAAAACATGAAAAATCCGAAATTTTTGTTTTGAAGTGCTTATTACGCGAACTGTGTACTTAAAATACACCATTAAAGAATCCCCGCCCCTCCATTAAACAATTAATTTTTTATACAAATATCTGGCCTATATAATTGTTGCACGTGTTTTCTCGTCATAGAGCATATTTAAATAGTTGTTTAATGATCACAATACGCAAGTACCAGAAATATTGTAAATGTATACGAATAATGTACAAACGTTAAAATAGATATATGATGAGCTTGTATACGAGAGGAACCGATCAGGAAGTATGTTGTATTATACGTATGCTTTTCTCTCTCGACTTTCAGAAATATTATATGAATTATTAATTCGTTTCACGTGTTAATATCAAAAACTCGGCAACTATTTTGTGTGACAAATACAGCTATACACACAACATTCCAAGGACATTATTGCTCTCTGTATATTACAAAGTGCACTTTCGTGTAAGCTGTTTTACGAACAAAAGTGTTTCGTACATGCGATAATGCGCGTAAAACGAATTTTTAAAAAAGAATAGCGATTATAATATCACGATCAAAAAGAGAAAAAAATATAAATAATATTAGGTAGCGAATAATTTAAACAATACGCGATTACAGATTCTGCAGAGCTTTATGGTATTTGCTTACATTATTATTTGAATTTCAACGACAAAATTATGGCGCGCGATTAGTAATTACGTATCAAGTAATATTATAATAGAAAACTAAGAACACGGTAATCCGTTCAAAACGTGTAAAACGTGTATTAGCGAATCGTAAAATAGACTGTCCAATTTTTAACACATTAGAGTCAGGTTATAGGTTAGGTTAGGTTAGATTAGGCAACGCACGACCGAGCTCAAATTGTAAAAACAGTATATGCCGTATATCACAGTCCTATGTATTATGGTACTCTACTCTACGCGACTGGATCGCACAAATAAAAGTTCACACTATATACGTGAATTCAGATCACGTCATATCGCATGTCATAATGAAAAAGGGCGTATCTTACCTTGTTCCAACTTTTTAGTTTTTTTTTTGTTTTAAGTAACTTTACAGTATTTTGTTTTGTTAATAAAAATATAAATAAATAGTGGACAAATATTTTATAAAAATCGAGATACGATATTTTTTAAAGTGACAGGTGATATACACTAGCGGCAAGAGACATTAGAGGCCACGGCGTAACAGTGATCATCGGTCCGTAAACGGAAAACTTCAAATGGCGATGCTACGTTTAGTATACGTTTACAATGCACACAAAATACAAAAATTCACACCACAACATATTATTTGAATAACTAAATAATTCACGATCAGTTAAGCGGTTAAAAATCATATACAAACTTATCAGTGGTCAAAATCTCCTAGTATTGTCAGCCATGATGAAAAACAAAAACGCTTTACTCGAATTCCGATCAACTTTCCTTCCGCGATCCTACAACGACAGATTTTACTGTAAAGTAATATGAGAACCATCGTACTTAGTTCTTCCAAGATTTTTAACATTATTATGGTTTTTCAGGCGTAATATCAATGTTTAATACGCAAATGCATCTTGAAAGTTGGCTGGCAGTGCCTGCAATTGTAATCGGCCTCCCGAGGGAACTGAAAAATATCGACGTAAAGGTGATTTTCTTGTATCAGATTTCTTTTCTCTTTTACTTTTTTTTCCTCGGTGTAGGTGCAACCAATTCGTGCATTTTTAATTAGGTACACTAAATGCTTAAGGTGTTATCGTGATATTCGTTAATCAAGAGCACGGACAAATTCATAATACTTTTACTTTTACAATGAGTTTTTGACAATGCAATACAGCAGATATTCATACACAAAAGTATAGTTTACAATTATTTTTAGAGAATTTATTATTATAAAGCTTATTTGAGAGAATATAAATCCGGATTCTTATGATTATATTGATTAACTTACTATAGGTATTATAGTGTATTATTATCTATATTTATGTATTTTATTTTATTGAAATAAAAATGCGTTTATCCAAATTCAAATACATCACGACTAATAAAAAACTAACTGTATTACAGTTAATTAAAATTAGGTTTATATTTAAATTAAATATATCAATGAAATAATTTAAATGATAATATTATATTCAACGATAACAATAAGAATTATAATAAATCAAATAAAGAACGTTGGGATCAAACTTGTTTGTCAATTTTGCCATTCCATACTAAGTAATAGTTTTTAAGTATCGAGTGTTGACAAATAGGGATAGAAAAGGAATAGAAACGCCGAAAATTCTGAGATAGAGACATACAAATATAATTGACATTGCTTATTTTTTATACAATAACTAGGAAACGAACACATTCACGAGAAACATCTTAAAACTTCAAAAAAGTCTTGAAAATAGCAAAAGTCTTTTAAATAAAATTAGGTACTTTGTGTTAATTTTTTTTCCAGTATTAGAAAATTGTATATAAAAGTTAGAGCCATTAAAAAAGGTGGAGGATTTTTAAATCCCTGTAGCAGTTTTTATTTTTTAAGTGCTTTTTTGATGTTTTTAGGCGTTTGTTTGTGGATTTAAATAAATCCGGTCTTTTATTATAACAAATTTGTATGTGTGTGTATGTGTGTGTGAATACCTATTGAATGACGCAAACAAACAAAATAATACGAATAAAAAACGTATCGTGGTCATCGTTATCGGTCGTAAGTCATGGAAAAATCGAGAAATTCGACGGCGCGCGTCTGTGATGCACTACGCACATTAATGTGTCTTTTTAGTATTAGTAGTTCGTTGATAACCGGTAGTAAACCCTATTGAGTATTTTGCGCGTGTCCGTGATAACAATATTGAGTAAAGCCAAAGAGTTCGCGGTTTTCGTTGTGTCAAAATCCGTTATTTTTTCTTTTCCTTTACAGCGAAAACGTCAGTTACGCAATCAAAAAATACTATTAAGTGCCGTCGCACGATAATCATAAGCGGCGGCGTTGTCGGCGGTGATTCCGAACGATGTTACCGTCGTCAGTGAGTACCTAACCTAGAAAATAACGTAGTATTTATTTATTTTTGATTTCACAGAGGAAATAATATAATACGTAACAATACTTCACGTCATACTTTCCTCTAGCCATTTTCGTACTTGAAAATATCTTCATCCGGCCATTTTAGATTCGGAGCGTAACGAAAAATGTATTATTTTTATGACTTTATGATATTGTGGTTTTTTTTATTCTGAGCAACGGGTAGGTACCTATATACGTGCTATGTTCGTGCTCAAAGTCGCGTGTTATTTATTTTTTTTATTTTTGTTTATCACCGCATTAATATTGTATAAGGATCTCAGCACGATCGCGTGGGCGAACCAAAGCCAAATGATTGCCGTCTATTATATTTCTTGTAGTAATTGATCGATCAATTTATTATTATGTACAGACGCGTTATGTAAGTGCAGTATAATATTACCAACGACATTTACTCCGTGTACAGTGTATTAGTCATTGTTTATTCATTATATTTTGAAAATATAACAACCGACGTCATTTGTTATATATCTCCTAAGTAGGTAAGTATATCAGGTATCGGATCAGGACGAACCGTGATTTGCCACATCTAATATAATAATATTATTACTCAGATATGGCTTGATTCGGAGTGGGTGGGTGTTGAGCCGTTCAGACGTTAAAACTTCGCGAATCAAAAGTCCATGAAAAATCTAAAACCACGTTTTATTATATTATAATAATTAACATTGGTTTTTAGTTTTGTTTTTGTTTTTCGTTCCGCCGTTTTGTTGATTTTAATAAATCAAATAAAGTATAAAATTATATTATTAAAAAATGACTGATGTGTGTGAGTGTACCACCGATTAGGAGAGTGGTAGTCGTAAGGGAGGATACAGTAATTTAATTTGTATTAATTGTACACAACTATTATTTCTAACGAAAAACGACTATTCGCTAACTATTATTAGTCGTCACTTCTTCCCTTATTGCCGAGGTAACCAAAAAAACAACAAACATTATTTAACAAATGTCTAGATTTTACTCCAATAGAAACCAACATTTCACTTTCCCAATACACCCACTAAATTAATACGTGCTACAAGAAAGTCCCTTTAAAGTTTTTGATTGAAGCAAGATTTCTGATAGAAAATTTGTTCACAGACACAAAAAATACCAATATAAAACACATTATAGTAAAACGGATCCAACTCAACTTTGTGCAAAGTAAAATACGTGAATAGATAGTTCAAACAAGTCAATAGTTAATCAAAAAACTTCTGATTCGTTGAAAAATATCGAGTTTCAATTTGTGCATCAAACTATCATAACTATCATCATTATTAATTGTGATATGATAGTGTACCGATTTAAAACTGGTTTTCTATCTATATTATAGTCAATTTCGATTCTGTACTAGCCTCATCAATCGTTAAGATAAAACGTGTCACGTAAAACATACTCTATGACGAGTTGTGAACGAAATGTCTGCACTACCTTGATAATCAGTTATTCAATATTTTCGCGCGAAATATATTGACGCAGGTATCTGAAAAATCGACGTGATATCAGTGGATATCAGTTGATACGTTTTCGTTTAGCTTGAAACCTGAAAATGTTTTACGGATCGCCTTACACATTAGGGACGGTGGGTATTATTTTATTTTTATTCGAATCTCCAAATAAAATATCTCAAATAGCCCGTGTTATAGTTATTTGCGTTTTTGCGCACAATACTAAAACGACTATTATTTATTTATTGACTCAAAAGTCGCACGTGTAGCGTTTGTAACGTTTTGCGCCATAGCATTTTGCGTTCATTATCGTACGCGGTGCGTTTTAAAGTAATACCCTATGATTATTCGTACGGTTTTTTTTTTTCTAAACTGTCCCGAATAGCAGCTTTTCCGGGTCGCGTATACGTTTCACAATACGTGCCACGTTACAATAACAAAAAACAAAAAAAAAAAAAAAATACAATTCTCAGTTATACCTATACTTATTAGGTATTATTATTACACAAAACGACTCTATATATATATATATAAATCGTATAATATAAAACCTAAACGTTATAATTTATTAATACGTACGTCGGTTTATTATACACTTAAAATAATATAATAATATGATATTTCGCGAGTTAATCGGTTGGGCCGTCACCGTTGCAGCTAAACGCACACGTGTATAAGCGTGGTTATCGCGCTCAGTTTTCATATAGTAGATAATATAACAGTAATAAAAAGGAACTTTCATTATTATACGGGTAGTATACTCGTCGTTATTAAACGCCAAACATTCGAGACCCGGATTTATTTCTAGTGGTGGTGCTGCTGCTGCAGCTACTACTGCAAAAAAAAAAATGTTTTCTAACTTTTATCTTTATTAGTAAAGGGTCCGAGTATATTATGTATATGATAATATGTTTCGCCGATCTTTACCTAAGCGACGGTACATACCTATAAAGAAAAATACCGCCGATTTCCATCGTAATGGCCGATATAGTCGACTGGTCTCGAAGGTATTATTTTTCATCTTTCAAGCGAAATCGCTCACAGCGAACTCGAAAAAAAATATACTTTATAATATCGTCCACCGAAACCGCTCGGAAATTAACCATAACTCTTCGAAAACGCCACAAACAAGGAAATAAAAATATACGAAAGACTAGCCAACATATAATATTTTAGAGTCTAGTAGTGCCGTGCAATATTTTTACCAATCCGGATTCTTGGACCTATTCTGTTCGTTTGTTTAAAATAAACTATACTTACTAAAAAAAGTATAAATTAGATACTATTATGTTGAGCTGCTGTATTTGAGATAATTAGTGTTATTTTAAGCTAAATAAAAATAATAATTATTATACATTTATATCATAATCTGAATTGATAAATATAATCCAAATTAAACGTTTGATACAAACGTTATGAATATGGATTAATCCAGGAGCGTGCCCAGGATTTTCTTTTGAGGGGTGATTTAAATTGTTTACGTCAATAGTGTGAAGTGGAAAGAATAATAAAAAAATAAATAAAATTTTAAAAAACCAATTTTTTTACCAATTTTTCATAGTTTATACTAGTACGTATTATGTATAAGAAAAAATAATAACAATAATAACTTGATCAGAGTTAAAAAAAATTATAAAATGAAGTCCATCCTGTTTGAAGATGAAGCAAATTGTGAAACCATTATATTTGGGTCTTTTGGTAGGTGTCTTTATTGATAGATAAAAGAGGTAATCCTGTGAGTAGGTTTTCACTGGTACTTTACCTAGTTGATTCCAAGTTTTATGTGACATAAACTTGAAAAAGTCTGTTATGTTGTCGCAGTTGATACTGGAAGAGTGATTAAGCATTTTTTTTATATTTGGATAAAATGTACTATCTTACATGTTTATTATTTTATAAGAAAATAAGGTTAACAATTAAGAAAGTCAATTTGTGGGTGGTTTGAACTCCTAAAACTACCCCCTGGGCACGCCCCTGGATTGATCCATAATGTGTGTTAATCGGTATTACTATATGAATCCGAATATTATCGATCCGGACCACTAAACAATAAAATTTATTTGAAAATTGCACAATTCGTTTGACCGTTCCGAGTGGAGATACTGGCCGTCTAAAATAATATGTTTCGGTATAATATTAATAATTGTCGATTCGATTCGTCCGGAATACCGGATCACAAATTGAATCCGCGGATCGTGCGAACGTTTGTCAAAACATCCGCGGTAAATCCTGTTTTTAAGTCCGCGCGGATTGCGTATTGATCAAACTCGGCTGTTCGGCACTAAATTATTATTATTATTATTATTATTATATACCTACTCAAGAACGCGAAAACCGTAGTTTTTAACCGACGCTCGTATAGCATAAAACCTTTTCAAAACGAATACGTATAATTGAATTTTTATTAAATCTAATCTTACATAAAAAAAAAAAAAAAATGACGCGAATTCCGATTAGCGTGTACGGAGGGGGGGGGGGCGGCTGGCGTACGCGCAGCACCGGGTGCCGAGAATTTCCGCGACAACTTTTGGGGAATCCCGAGCATTCGCGTATATATTCGGTTATTGTGTTTACGCGTATACAATAATTTCATAAACTGTTAAAAGCGGTCGTGTTTTGGACCGAAATATGCGCGTATACGGGCCACCGACGACGACGACGACGGCGGCGGCGGCGGCGGCGGCGGCGACAACGATGTCAACGACCGTGCGACGACTGCTGCACGGGGAAAATTCGTCGAAACAAAACCGAAATAACCGGGAAGAAACAAAACCATATTATTATAATATTATTATTATTATGACGATGACGACGCCGCCGCCGCTACCGCCGTCGTCGTCGTCGTCGTCGTCGTCGGGACCGCGCGTAACTGGGATTACGAAGAATTCTCGAAATACCAATAAAACCGTGTTTACGCGCGTTTTCGGGTTATTCGAATTGTTCGGGAAAAATCCGTTCGAAAAATAATCATACCGCGCCACGTAAGGTTTGAGTGACTTAGAAACAAGAACAAAAAAAAAAAAAAAAAATTGAAACTTTGTGTTTTTTTTTTTTCGGTGAAATCTTAAATTTCGAAAGGATCACAATGTTACGAAAAAAAAATTTCAAAACTCTGAACGTTATATACGCTACAGTGCGAGCAACGCTATCGGTTAATCGATGATGGTGACACGGTAAAAGGGTCTAAGCTACAGGATTCATAGTTTTTCGGAGAATCAATAAACAATTATTTGTTATTTTAATTTTTTTTTTTTCTAGGTTGGCAGTAACTTTTTTTCGGTTAAAGTAGGGAATTTTTTCTTCGGGGAATTTTTTTTTTTCTGTTTGCGCGTGCTTAATATGAATACGCATTCTAGATTAGCTTTTATTGTCATTTATTTGTCAATTGAAAAGACAAAATAAAAAGTATCGTTTATACCCAAACTTAAAATTCAAGTTGTTCGTTAAATAATGGTCTTGGCTGTTTTTACGCACGCGCAATTCTTATTTATACCTTACGAGTTATAAGTAAGTTCTCCTGGTTATGTGAAATACCTAATAATCGTCGTAGTTGTAACGAAACTCGACATCGGTGTAAAATAAGATCTCTACGATTTCATAAAAAAAAAAAAAAACCATTAGGTACAATTAAATTTACTCGAAATCTTCATGGATGTTTTGTGGGTTCATGAAAAAAAAAAATCAATTCGTCTTGTATTATAAAGTATTTTAAAATACTTGTAGGTGGTAAAATATTATTACATTTTACTACCTATGTGAAGTCAACGGTGAACCGAACAGTTTTTTATTTTTATTTTTTTGACGAATTGTTTTTCGAATGTGAGGTGGTCATTAATTTTAAATTTATAATCTGACATTAAAAACATTGACTCGCACCGAGGTGAGCGAGTGTCCTGCAACGCGTCCCGTTTCTGTCCCTTGTCCGTGCCGTATATTATACCCTCTTTTGTTTTTGGGTTTTTTTTAATAAAATCATATTTCTTTCGCGGGATGAATAGATATTACGGGCTTTGTAAATTTTCTATTTAACACATTTTTTTCATTTTTTTCATTTTTTTCATTTTTTTTTTTTTCATTTGATTTTATGACCCGTGTCCGACCAAAACAAAGTAATATAATATTTATCGCACGCCCTAGTCACTAAAGAGAATTTTTATTTTATTTTTTTTCCCCGATTTTTAATGAAATAAAAATGTCAGAACGGTTACCGCGATACACGCGTATAAAAAATATATAACATTTTTGTTTTTGTATTTGAAACGGAATGTTGGAAACGCCGACATGCATTGACGATGGATATTATTAATTTTTCATTAAATCAAACAAAATGCGTATAGGCACCTTAACAAAATGTTACGGTATCGGAATTCTATTTAAACTATATATCTACCATTATTCTAGTTGTCCTTTATACGTATAGTCTTCTTGTTATGGACGTTTGGATAATTTAAATCGTTATGTCAGACTAGTATTTATTTAAAACGCAATCGTGTCTCGTAAGCCGAGAGCCGTTGTTTAATAACGAATCAATGATAATGTCTTAAGTAGATTTTAAATAAAATTTAATTTTGCTTTTTTTCCCCCGTCTCTAAACGGTCTTATATTTTAAAGCAATATTTTCAAAATTGTACCTCTTTTTCGTATATACCGTGAACATATTATAATATCGACTAGATATTGACTTATTATAATCAATAAAGATGTTGAAGAACTGTAGGATGAGAATCAGTTTGAATGGCGCGCCCATCAGTTCGAGATGAATAGAAAATCGGGATATTGTAATAACATGAATGCCACCTCAAAGAAGAGATCGATTCCCGGATTTCTAGGAAAGATAAAATTTATTTTGCTGAACTCTATTTCAAAATTGAAGCCATCGTAGGAACAGAGAAGGGTTATTTAACGTGGACGTAAAATTTCAAATTGATTGCCATTTCCTATACTTCCCCGGATAAGATTTTTAATTTTTTTTTTTCTTTATCTGGCGTTTAACGGATATTATGATATAACATCGAAAAATGCATTTTGTCCGGGGAATTTAAACCACGAATATAAATAAGTCAGTTAAACTATTTAAGTGGGTTAATCATTTTGTTGTGCTACATTTATTATTACTTCTCCTTCATCCCAACTATTTGGGGTCGGCCACCCTCATTCTAAAGTCCCACAGAAAACCCGATCTCCCCCCCTCCTATACGCCGGATGTCTTTATATCATTCTCAATTACATCCAACCACCTCTTTTTCAGTTTTTAATTTATTTTTTAGAATTTTTTTTTTTTATTAAGCTACTATAGTTTAATATTTAAAATTGTATAATTACATATTTATTTCTACGTAGTTTACATGGTTTTTATCAACATATCTATTATACTTTTAGCATTCAATATAGCTTGCTAACGGATATATGGCTTTATCGGATAAAAATATCCGATTCAAAAATAATACGACGTTTATATGGCGTATTTCAAAACAGACAGACTTCGTTTGTAATAATAACTATAATTAGGTGTATAACTGTTTTAAAATATTTCTATTATAAGAAATAGGTAATAATTAAAAATTGCTTAGTTAATTTGTTTAAATCGGTGGTTCAAATTGTCCGGGCAATGTACACATTACCTCTGATTTTATATTGCTCGTAATCTAATATATATATATATATACTCGAAAGAATAGTAATATTTTGAACCTAAGGCGCGAACAAGGCCATTATTATCAAATGATTCTCAATAACGAAAGAAAATATAACTCCAAAATCGAATTTCCTGACAATTTTTGAGTACCTATATTATACATAATAATGATAAAATAATCACCCTGTATTACCGATGTATATCAAGAAATAATAATAATTAACGGTATTAACCGCACGATATCATCGTGACGTTTGCATTAAATATTTTGCAATCCGGATTTCATGATGGAAATGCGATTTTGAATCGAACAAAAAAAGTAATATTGATATTATGTGTTTAGCGTGATGCTGAATTTGAAGAAAAAAAATAATCAAAACAAAACAAACAAATTTGTTCGGAAACCTAGTTTGTTGTAAATGCTATATATTTACAGTGGTTTATTTTATCTGGATAAAAATAATTTTGTATTTTATCTTATCTACGATAAATGATACATTTTTAAAATTAATTTTTTATATTAAAATTAACTTATTTAAAATATGAAAATATTAAATTTGTATGAATAACAACTAAGCGACTTTATTTATATCTAAAGACATGTGTATCAAATCTGATACACTTTTACTCATTTGTATGATATACTCGTAATATTAAAATTTTAGATAATAGAAAAAAAAAGATTTTTTTTATCCAGATAATTATTGTTCTAACAATTATCACTTATCTTCTTCTGGATATTGTAATATGTATTTTTAATATGTATAGGGATACTATAAAAACATTATAATTTTATTTCGTTAGATTATCGATTCACGTGTCGAATCGTTTTATAATTATAATCCAAACAGCCGGCCTAAACAAAATGTGATGTGCTCACAAGGCGTACGCACTGAAAACGGTATAGCAGACCGCGTCGCGGACGCTACGAGAAGTTAAAAAATAACTTTAATAATATTGTATATATTTGTATATTTGGACGCGATCCAAAATAATGACGGTGTATGCATTTTGAAAATCTTCGGGGATTTTTATTACACAGTCTATTATGTATAGTGCGGTAGTCTTGATTTTATTTTATTTTATTATTATTATTATAGTGCGCTTTGAAAAATGTCGATTGTTATTATTAATATACATTTGCAATATTTTCGTAACGCGTATTCTGTATTGTGATTTATTTAATTAAAACAATCTAGATATATGTATATCTAATCCAGATAATAGGGAAATACGTTATCTGAGACGAATAACTAAATCCTCTAGACATAAATAATATTAAATGGAAATTAATATATTTACTAGAAAAATATTTAATTCACATTATATTGGATTCTGAGTAAAGTGAGTTGGTTGTTGGTTTTACTATGGTGTGTATTTATTTTTTCTGTCTGTAAACAACTTTTCTCCTAGAAATCTTGCTCAAATCAAAACATAATGAGAGATCTTTTTTATTCCATTTTGGCTCTAGTTAGTACTTTAAAAAGTTTTAATTTCGAGATGTGATATTTGAGATAATCTAGTTCTTTGGATCAAAAAAGATTAAAAGTTTAAAAGATTAAAATACTAAAAATAAATTGTCATTTAAAACCATTTTTGTTTATTTTTTGTCATTATTAAGTTTCTATTATTTTAAACTTTTAATTTTCTTTTAAATATCGTTGGTGTCGTGAAAACGTTCATTGTTGAAAAACCAGTACTATTGACTAAGCTCTGATCAGAATCGTTTTTCGTTATCAAAGATTAATCATTGCGTACAAATAAAATTCAATTCCTCTCTATATCCTACCTTCTCAACTTTTCACTTACAACAGTGGCCCATCCGTAGTGCGAAATATGTCCCACCGTTTATCTATTATTTTAATATTATAAGTACGAGTGTACACTTAGTTATATTAATCAACAATATTTTGAAATCTACAGATTATGATTGTGTACCATTTACGATACACACTTTTAGTACTTAGTTTTACGACGTGCTATGTGAAAACAATTTTTTTTTAATTTTTTATTTTTTCGTTTTATCTAGATTATGTATCTATAATCAAATTTTCGCTTAGGTACGTTTTTTCCTATTTATCTGTATAGATAATTATTATGATAACTATATGATAACACTATCTCTTATATTTATTTCGAAATTTTAAAAATATATGTATAAATTACAAGCGGGGTAAAAAGGTATATTAACAATTTTGTATTTTTGTGTATCGTTCGTCAAACACGCTTCGATAAATATTGTAGAACCTACCATGAAAAAAAAAAAAAAACGACTACAATTTCGTCATCGTATTTCCGTATAGAGCCACGCCGTTTCTTGTATAATTAACCATCGAGTGTTTTTCGAACTTTTAATTTCATAATACGAAACTCTTCAATCAGTTTAATAAGAATACCGGAGCAACGAAAGAAAAAAAAAAAACTCGCCCAAACGCGATTCACGGAGACTTACGGTACATGCGCACATGGCCCCGCAAGACCTCGTGTGAAGTATGCATGTGTCTCGGGAGTCGAGAGTGCGAGTGCAGTTATGCCGTACCCGCCAAACCGTTCGGAACGTGACGCCTTTCGACGACCACCGACCGACCGGAAATCCGAAAATGCGTGTACATTTCGTTACGAAAATAATAATATCGTCGCCGTCGTGTCTGCCGCCGCACGTTTCCATTACGTTATTGCCGTTCGTGCAGCAGTCTTTAGTGCAGTGAATTTATAAAAAAATTATAAAAAATACAAATTCCAAATAATCAAACCTCTCGCCAAGCCGTAAGTATGTGCGAGTATCTACAAGAGGCGATCGTTTTCCGAGTGAGTATACCTAATACCTATATATATATATATATACACAGCTGCCTTACTTGGCTTACCTAACTTAACTGTCTTACTCATCCACCTACCCAATGTAAATTAAAAAAATATAATAATATCGTAGGTCGATCGTAGATTTTCAGCTAAATCGCTATATACATCGTTAGACTAAGGGTAGCGAAACGTTTTAAACAAACACCAATGTTTGATACGTTTTGTACATATAAATAAATTTTTGTTCTTTAATAATTATATTTACGAATATAATCAACTATTATTATAATATGATATTCATAAAAAATAATGTCCAAAACAAAGGAAAAGCCTTTAGGTTAGACTGTTCCCCTCCAAAAAATAAAAAAAATAAAACATAATTGGGAAAAATGTTTCGATGGTAATAAAAATGTAATTAAATAATCAACGAAACATAATATTACGTGATTTTAAAATCATTTTTTTTAAAGTAAAACAATATTCTCAACTCGGTAGTTGATCAATACGATTGAAAATATACGCATAAAAAAAATAGTCCTGGTGAATATATTTTTGGCTAGAATATAAAATTTACAAATAAATATTATATACCTCCTAATAATTTATGCATACGAGTATACCGTATAAACAAAATATTAGGAGGCAGACAATTTTCTCTCTTGCCTTCGGAGAAAAATGGACTGAGTAGAGGAAAACGTTAAATAACTCTAGGAAATAATAGGAAACAAATCAAAACTAAAACAATAATCTTAACGATCATATTATTTTGTACCAAATACAAAACCAACGTGTAAACGTACTATAACTAATATATTTACGGGTTTATTTTTTATAAACGATTGAATTCGAAAATCTTCATTAAATAACACTTGTAAAAAAGTCAAAAACTTATTGATTAGACGTCCTAATGGCGTCTCATTTTTACCGAGTTAACCAAATTACCGTTGCCATTTAACAAATTTACCATTTTAACATTAGAGAGCAAAATGTATTAATGTAACAGAAAATATATTAATGAATTGATAGATTTAGGAAGTTCCTTGCTATTTAATCTTTTTATTTATTATCTAAGATATTATACTAAATATTGATTATAAATTATATTGATATAGGAAATCAATATTATTTTTAAGTCCATCTACAATTTTATGATACCAATAAAATTGTTTCTTTACTTTTGCTATTTATGTTATTCTATTATGTAAATCTATGCGAATTCCAATACAAAAATCACAAAAAATAACCACTAAAAACTTCCTGAAAATAAACATTTTTGGTTCACTTAAACAGTTTATGAGGGAAGCATTTAAAATCTCAACACCGAAATGTCGACAGTTAAAAACCTGACAGTCAAAATCCCGGTAGAATATTATATATATAAAATATATTAATATATTATTATATCACCGAATCGATTTCGCCTTTTTGAGTATATTTTCACATTATATTGGGTCTAACTATTCTATTAAATAATCTATAGAAATATAATATGGACACTGCGAAATTTCGGGAAACACTCTTATCTGCGAATTTTATCTCTGTAAGGATTGATACCATACTCGTTTTCTGTGTCGAGATTTAATATAATAATATATTTACCAATATTATATATTTTTGAATTTTTCGAACACGTTACGTTACGTACAAGTTTCCAAATCCGTGAAGACATCTTTACTTTTTACATTTCCTACTAACCAATTTGGAAACTGTCCGCCCGATAGAACGAGGCCAATAATTGGCCTATGATTGGCATATTTTTATATTTCTCAAAACGGTTTTATTTACCAAACTACAATATTTGATACGTTTCTGTGAAGTATTGAAATACAAAGATATATAAAAAAAAAAAATTGATATTGCTCACGATTCAGGGTAATTTATCTTATTTACTCTATAGGAAGATAAATGATTTCAAACGGAAAAAGATTCTTAGTGGAGTATTATAAGTTATATTTTTCGGTTGTTGCTAAAGTAATTCAGAAATCGTAAAAATCAAACAACAACAAAAAAAAAAAAAAGGACCTAGGGGTGAACTATTGTACATTTCGACAAATGTTTTGAATAAAATACCTACCGCTGAGCAGAAATTCCACATGTTTTGAGGTACTGGCGGTACTGCATACAAAAATCGAAACATTTGCCCAACCTAAAAAGTGTTTTTAAAAAATAAAAATAAACGAAACATAAAAAGCAACTGTTCGGAAAAAGTACCGGAGATTTCGAATAATTATGTAAATAAAGTACCGCCGAGCGAAAAATCCGCGAAAAATCGTTTACGATATCGTGTGAGAAAAACCAGAACATTTTTATAAACCGCGTACTAGTGTTTTTCGAGAAATAAAAAGAACATATTGTTGTAAAAACAGCTTCTCCGTTGTATGCACACTCAGAATCTAATCAAAATATTCTTCCGTTAATCGTCTTCGAATCTGAAACTTTATACAGATCATACGTTCTGTATTATAATATAACAAACGAGTCGGTTTTTACTGGGCGATATTTCAGTGTGTGGGTTCGTCTATGCAAATTCTATGTTTCAAATTTAAAAAGTGAGCAGCAATTATTATTTATTTTTTATATTATTTCTTGACATACCTATGAGTCGATATTGTTTCGTAGTAATTATTTTATTATTACAGACTTTTTTTTTCCAATATTATATTGTATATTCTACGCCGACATAAATTCCGTATAGGTTAGCTTCACAGAAAATTGAGTAATTGAGCGATAAATTATTTTTTCTAATAAAACAATAGTTTTATTTATTTTTTTTTATAACGCATAGTTCAGTGACCGGCGTCGTAGAAAAAGAAAATATATAAATTTAAAAAAAAAAAATAATAATAATAATAACCGTTATTTTATCGTATAGAAAAATCATATCAGTTTTCAATTAATGTCCTTGACAAAATATATTTCGGAAATAATTTCCAACACATTAATCGTGTGTACCGTTCATCGGAAGAAAGGTAAGAAAAAAACCCGATGATATATTACTATCATTATATATATATACTTATACTTAACTTCTTTTCTGGAAAATATAATAAAAATCTAAGCTATATAATAATTTTCCGTTTAAAACCCGCCTATCCCTTGTCTTAAATATTATTTTATATTTTGTTACCTACGCGTAAAACGTTGTTTTTTTTTTTGTTATTATTATTCTTATTTATTATACTAAAATTATCTTGGCGAGTTTTTAGCTCGTAGGTCATGGAGTAAAAGTGTTATTTTTTATTTTACTTTTATCAAGTATTCACTTTTTTGCAACCAGACTTGAATTGTAGCGCTGCACATTTCTATTTTCTCGAAAAATGTTTACTTATTTAAATTTTTTTTTTGTTATTTTAATAGTGTTTTTAACGACCGTATACACATATAATATGTGCGCTTACTCTATAGCGACATTTTGTTTTTGATGAATATTTCATTTCCGACTGTATACAAACACGGGAGTATATTATATTATTATGAAACGTAATAAAACGTGTCGAGTTATATCCCACCACCCTCCCCCCATGAATACTATTTAAATTTCACTGGTAAATTTGACCGTGAATATTAAACGAAAAATAAAAAATGTTTATAATTGTATGGAAAACTATATTTTTATGATGTATACATTTTAACTAAAACATCTCAAACATTAACACGACATATTTCAGTCCGATGAATTTACATACATATTTTTGGAGACATTTTCAATATAAAAATATCAAGGACTCAAAACTTAACCTAATTTAAAATGTCCACCCCTGAGAAGCTGCTATCTAAATATTTTATAAAAATAAATTTTGTTTACGATTTCTCAAACATTTTAAAAGACTCATTAATATGTTTTACATATAACTTTATGATTGTCAGTTCCAATTAACAGTAATATTTATCCTCTTTTAATGTTGTTCATTTATAATATTTTGGAAATCAAAAAAAAAAATATCATGTTTTTAATAAACTTTGTTAGATCTTGAAAATAATAAGATATAATTAGAATAACTTTTTAAGTGTAAAATAAATGTGAATTGTACTGTCTACACGTGAACCATAAGGGTTACAATTTTGAAAATTGGCTCATTTTAATGTCAAATTTCAACTGGCTAAAATATTTCGTTTTCCAGCATGAGTGATACACACTGTAACACTCACTGTGTATATCGTATATACATTTTTATCATTCAAAATAACCTAATCAACTAAATACCTATTGAATTATTTCTGTAATTATTATTTTAAGCCAGGGGAAGGTCACTTTGTGAAATATTTTCGTTTCACCGATATTTTAAATTCAA